CTGATTCCCTCAAATAACACCGATTCCTTTGAATCGAATGCGATTACCTACGTAGTTGTGGCATTGAAAGGCATACTTGACAGGTTATTTAACAATGATACATGGATACAGTGAAATAAATAAATAATTAACGGTATTTCACCTGAGTAGTAAGAACAAATTCGAACCTACTCATCAGCTAACAAAAATCAAATTTTGTCTGACATTCTCAGAATGACTATTACATTCAATTCATAATGCCAGTGACCACAATCTGTCATCTGCAGCTTCTCCCTTCACCACTCAGCTTCATTGCGTATGTTCTTATCCCCATTGTTTCATTAATTAACCCTTCGCATCTTTTCACATCCTGATTGCATGTATTCTATCCTGGTAGTTTAGTGAATGAGACAGTTGGCGACAAGGATGAGTTACAGTTATCCATGATCCAACAAACGACAATAACTCTGTACTGGGTGCTCCATTGGATATTAGATTACCTTACTATTGATCAGTGATTTTCTTCTGTTTGAAGAACAGTTGCCTCTACTGACGAATTCATGAATAATCCGGGGAAGATGCTACAAAGTGGTATCCGCGGTTCCACTGAATGTTAGGTAATGGAAGAGGTTTAGTGATATTTTTACATAGATAAATTAGTATAGACTGTCGCACTTCAGGGTCGGGACGCTTCGGTCTTGTTTACGATGCGAATAGTGTCGTCAAGGTGCGACACGGCCGCACTTGTGATTGACTTAGTTACTCCACTTCTCAACCACGCAGGGTGATGCTCACGGATGCTTTTATTATTTTCCCTTTTCCTTTGTAAATTCTTATCAGTTTTCAATCATGTATACGGATTAGTAATGGCATGATTAGGACGCACTGAAAACGAGCTTGTTTGCCAATTTGTTCCCAATAATTATTATATCACCGGAGAACTTTCAGTCAATAAAGTTACGAGGAATGGGTTAATTCTGTAGATGGAAGAAAGAAAGCGGGTAGAATAGCACCCTGAAAAACAACAGGATCTATATTTATGGAAGACCACTGTTGGCCAATAAATCGAGTGAACTGAGTCAACTGAGGAGTAGTCGATTAAATCGTTCAAAGTTTCAGGTGTCAGGCCACACTCAGAAAGACATTCAATAAGCACTCATCGATCGAGAGAATCAAAAGCGTTTTCATAATCAAGAAAGGTCAAACGACCTAGTCCTGCACCTTCGACCAAAATAGATAGATAGATAGATAGATAGATAGATAGATAGATATTGTAGTCCGCAGTTAAGACAAGTTCAGTTTTATTATGATTATCCGTTTACCGAACCGGCTTAGAGATATAGTGCACGGATCTTATACGAGTCAAACGTTGGCCCATTGTCATCATCGCTTGAACTTTTTCCATTCCGAATTTCCCACATGGCGTATCGTTCCACAACTGATTCTCCTGTGGTGATTCTCTACCAACACTCGGATTCAGAAATTATCCTCCTCTTATATCGGCCCGAACATCACGTGACCGATCGGGTTCATTTATCGATCGGTCGGATAGCTCAGCCGCAACAAGGGCCCTGGTGCTTTCCCACCTAACCCGAGCGAGAAACCACACCTTTTCTATAGCCGCGACTCTTTAGAAGGTCCAGTGAACTTCGACTGTACAGCAGGATTGCCATCACCACATGGATGAACTGCACATGATAACAAAGTAAAAGACAATGTGAAACGATGGAGTTATCGGACTATCCTCATAGTAACATGACTTCTTAAATTGATATTCGGACATCTTAAATTGGAAAAAGTTATGGAGTAATGGACGAAAAGGACGCTATTTATACGATTTACGTAGACTTTTCGAAAACCTACAATCAGGTGAACAACCATAAACTTGATTGGTGGTAGGCAGCTTTACTGTCGTGCGGTTCAACACCACGCCTAACCTAGGGGGACCTTATGTGGTCCTCCACTTCAATTCTCGGGCTTGGGTTTTCGGTTTCCATCACTGAACAGCAGGTCTTCGCGACTATGGGATCCGCCACGTCTGCTGTTTATCATACAAATGTCTGTAAAAAGACCTAAGTGCGCTGTTCGTCGATTGGCTTTTGCACTGTTTCCATGTCTGCTGCCAATGTAAATTTGATCGTACACAGAATATGCCATCCGGCTCTATAGATCAGAAGATACTAGGACTTCCGCGAATGAAAACCATCAAAATGGTCGTGTGATTTCATTACCGTGCCTATTTTGAGACTACAACTTTCTCACTCGGCGGAATTAGAGGAAACTTGATTTGGTGTATCCCTGTCTTCCATTACCAACCGTGTCACCTGACGTTCACGTCTGTGGACATCTGTTCACATTATTGGTCCAAGAATGTCGACTGAAATCACTGGGCTAATCATTTACCGTCATAGTATGTACGCATCGTTTGGAATGCTCTTCTATTCCAACTGTTTTACGATCCAAATTTTGAATGTTTCAAGCGAAGACTTAATGAAACCCCGGCATACCTAACAGTTCAACACTAGTAATAACACAAAACAGTGAACTGTTTTTATATTACACATCTCACTTTTTCGTCATGAACTAATTCAGTTATGGCAATATTCTATGGGAGGAGCATGAAATTTTGGCTTTCATTGAGGTTTGCTCATCACCTAATAGACACCTGTGTGCATTTCTTGCTGATACAAGTGGTAGCTAGAAAAAACTAAGGGTTGTCCAAATATTACCTGACCTGAGGGCATACAAACCCTGACATGGAGTCTCAGTTATGAAGTTCGCTGGAGGCCTCCTTTTTGTGGACCTCCTAACCAATTTTATTAATCGTCACATACAAGAAAAGATGTGGTTGAGTCTCGCCGATATAACCTTTTTATGACACATTTGTGTCGTGAACATTAGATAGGAGGAAT